TAGAGGGCCACCAAAGTCACCCTGAGCAGGACATAGGAAGGTAGCAAAACGCTTCAGCAGAGTTCTGTAGGCTTCCCATCTTTGTGTAATTATGCATAACATACCTGACCTGCATCTTTGCCTCCCTCCAAATATCTTGCACCCACTAGGATGAATTCCAAACTTTTCACAATTTTTTTCTTTTTATTTATTTTTTCTTTATTGTAAAGTGAACAAAGACTACACTCATGAGAATACAGATTGGAATAAAGAAGACAATGCCCAGGAGCATAAACAAATAAAAGTCAATATAATTATATATACCTTTGGCAGTTAAATAACATGCTGCTGTCATCTCTGCAGCAACATCTCTGATGTTGCTGCTATTTTCAAATATCCATTACTGTAAAAATGTCCATAGCTGTATATTGGTTATTTATTCTTCAGGTGCACAGTTTTTTATATTCTTAAAACACTTTTACAGTACAGTATTTTATTGTTTATCTTTTAACTCTTCACTATTATGTTATTCTTTTACACTTTTTTAAGGTCCACATTTGTGTGACCATTTTTTTTTAAATCTTTTTGCTGCTGTAAACACCAGAATTTCCCCATTGTGGGACAATAGAGGGATTTTCTATTGTATTTCATTCTATTCTATAAAAGGGGTAGAAAGATATAAGTAAGTCTAAACAATTTATGTATAAAAAAATGTATTTGCAATACTTAGTTAAGCAAATTGTTCAAAATAGCAATTAAAAGATAAAAATCATACCAGATTTATTTATCTGTCCTTAAATTACACCAAAACCCATTTACACAGTAACAGATAAAAACTTTCAAATACCACTTTCAAATATCAATAACATTTTATTCCAGTAAGCCTGACTCCAAGGTGGAGACCAGTTTAAAGGTCCTGCTCAAGTTCTGGTTCCACATCCTGTCTCGGCTATCCTCTTCCACTGAGCCTGCCCTTGTGCACATGATCCTGTCTGCTCCTGTGCGTGTCCGCCTGGTCACGCTTGTGGACGCTGAACCTGCCTGGGAGCTCTAGGATGCCTGGAAGCCTGGATCCTGCCTGTTCTGCATCCCTGTCCAGGATCGGCTTCCTGCAAGTCCTCTGGGACTGCTGCACCGGGGACACTACCCTAAGTGACACATGCCGTGTCTGCCTTCAGTCCAGCGGCCGGATTGCAGCCCTTTCCAAGGAGATGGACTGGACTTTTGAACCAGGTATGTGATTCACTGAGATCATCATCTTCTGTCAGATGATCGTGGTCACTAACCTGTGTTTCCGCACCGCAGATCATATATTATATTATATATATATATATATATATATATATATATATATATATATATATATATATATATATATATATATATATATATATATATATATATATATATATATATATATATATATATATATAATGGGTACCTCCTGATCTCTAAAAACCATGTAATTCCTCATGGACGATTTGCACATGACCTATTTTCTTCTTTGTATGTCTGTACTAGTTGCAGTTCCCCACTTTGATGGAAGTCCAAATGACGAACCAAATTACATTCTTTACATCTAGAATTAACTTTGATCGAATTTTGACCAGGAAGAATCTTGTTTTAGTGGTCTACAAATAGAACCACAGACAGGAGAGTGCTTTTAATAAATTAAGACTTAGAGTTGATTGAACTAATTCATAGCAGCCATTGTAAATCAATCTAGATCAATTTAGAGTTGTAGATTTGAATTTGAGTTTGTTAAACCTGCTTTATGATACGGAACCCTGTTCATTAAGCCAAAAGTGCCAAAACTTGCTTTGTAGTCCATTGTAGCATTTTGCTTTCTAGAATAGTAAACCAGGCCTAAATTTGAAGATTTTTTAAGAGGAAGATAAGAGGTACCAGGCTCAATAGTGCAGATATGCTTAAGGCTTTTATCAAAGCCACTTCCCTGTAAAACCACAGAATGATTGTATCCTCACCCAGATGCTATTATGCAGTCCTTTTAATGTGAAAGGAGCTCAATATGCTTTAACAGGCCAACAATTCTGTATTAAAAATATATTTTATTGGTCTCATATAATCACTCAAACATAGTAAATCTATTTTGGTTTTTCATTAGCTTCAAGCTTAAAAAAAAAAAAATACATCAACTTGCTGGTATTATCATCATCTATATAGTAGAAGTGCACAAGTAATTGTAAAATGTTTCCTACATCCGGCTTTGTTTAAATTGTCTCAGTCCATATTCGATGCATATATTACTGGGAGAACAAGCTCTACGCGCAGCTCATGAGGACTGACACCATAATCTGACATCCAAGGTAAATAAATACCTTCACTGGTTCTACTCATTAAGGACACAATACACTTTAGTTTTCTCTTCTTCTTGTCCATAGAATCTGCTTGAGCATGTGAAAAATAACCACAAAAAACAAAACAAAAACAAAGAGCTTAAAAATAAAAATAATTATTATATTCACCAAAGAAGACACAAGTTCTGGCAGATAATACTGAGCTGAATGCTTTTTTACTTTATCATGAACAAATTATATCACACTAGGCCAATCAGTTCATAAAGTTATCTTTAAAAAGGCAGAGTGAAAAAAAGAGGTTAATGAATACAATATAAGAAAGAAACATTTTCTAATGTTTCTTATTGCAATTTAGCACAGTACAATGCAAAATAAAAGCAATATATTCAGTTTATATATGCAGTTATTGCAGTGAAGCGTGTAAGTTTTAGTTTTCTCTATGTGTAGAACCACGCTCTGGACTATAACATCATGCTGATTGAGATCTTCCATCCTTTGTAATCCTCTGTGTCTAGATGAGGGAACGCTGCTGCAGACAGCAAAGTGATTCATTTGGACAAAATCAATATGTGACTACAAAAAGTTTTCTGTCCAGTTTTTTTTGTATCGTACTGTTACAGTGAACATTCCCAGCTGCTTGCAGTGTCTGGATGTGCTGGATGATGAGCATTATGAAAGCACCGCAGGATGGTTTGTGCTGGGTACATGGATGGAGGCAAGGATGCATGCAATGGCAGTCTCTCAGAAATGAGCCTGTGGATAAAGATATATTGGATACTGTCTACTTTATACTATTTATGTATATTCTCCAGGGGGACTCTGGCAGCTCTCTGGTGTGTGTTGAAGTGCATGGGGTGTCATGGGAACTGCACTGGCGTCTATGTTAAAGTATGCAAGTTCCTCTATTGGATTAAAGACATTCTTGCAGCTATTTCTTCAAATATATACATACATTTTTTCTCTCCTCACATCTACATTGACTGACCATACAGTTTATGGCTAACTCTAAAATTCTGTAACTAATAGTCCTCTAAAATCATTGAGTTTTCTATTATTTTCTCACATTTTTTTTAGAGCACCCATATCAAGGGGAAAAATAACATTCATAGGAGGGAAATACTCATAGGTCTTATATAATTATTAAATAACGTTTCACAAGCTTTTACTTTTGTTTTTGAATGCAGTTAATGGGTGAGGTAGCATTTTTCATAATTTATCTATAATTGCTACTGCCAGGTAGTTAGCCTGTTTCAATGTTTTCATTCTGCAAATGACAAACCTACCCCTTTTTATTTATGGGAAGCTCATTAAATACTTTGATTACCAAGAAGATGTGGTGTTCTAGACTATGTTTAGAAATGAGAGCAGAATTCATCATACTGATAATGTCATTGTGATTACTGAACAGCAGGTCGGCACGGCGGGATTCCCACCCTCTCCTCTTTTACAGCAGCAGTCATCATCAGAAGTTTACACACACAGGATATTTACATGAAGGTCAAATTAATTTGCAGCATTTGCTGATTTATTTGAATCATTCTCTTTGGAATATATTCCAATTTTCTGTAATACATAGAAGCTCAAATTATGCAGCCCAAATAACATATAAAGTGAGTCAGAAAAATCTCAAAACAAATAATGTTGTTGCCATTAGCAAACCTTTGGCTTGATTCTAGAGGATGTTTTGCCTCTCTTTTAGGGGAAAGGCAAGAGCTCATTTAAATATTGGCTAGTATTTTAATGCTGTTTAACCATAATTCATGCAGTCTTAATAGTGTGGAAGTTGTGAGTAGTCCAGAAATTTTACATTACAACTTTAAATATTCAGAAAACTTTTTGGCTGAATGTTTCTGCTCTTAGAGCATTTCAAAGGTTTGGAACTAGCCTTCATTATTCTGTTTCCTTGTGTTATGCGCCATTTAACCTGGTGTTAATACCCCCGCTGGGAATGATGCTGCCACCTCTATACTTAACAGGTATATTTTAATATGAGTAAAGAAACCATTTTCTTCCTCTTCATCCTCTTGGTGACACTGTGCCAAGATGGGTTTACAGTATCTTTGGCTTTTCTCCTAGGTAGCTGCAAATGTGACAACAAATTTAGGGAAAGGAAATATAATAGTAAAGGAAATATAAAGGAAATATAATATAATATATAACACCATTTTCTTTCATGCTCATGCTAAACATATTTTACTGTGGACTGTACATCTTTTAACTTATGATAAGCTTGAGTTTCTACACTATTTCTTGAAATCTGATTAGGCTTTTGAGTCAGTTCAGTAAAACTTAAATTCTACTGGATTTACCACTAAGAAAATGATCAGAACTATACTGATTTTGAAATAGGTAAGGTTAATCTTTGGCAGAAGCACAAAACACGACAATGTAACAAGATGTGGGCTCATTTAGGTGCCAAGAAATAAAAATAAATTGATAACAAGATTTCAAAAATCCAGCAAGAATTACACCAAAATCTTGTCTATTACCGAATAAATAAATAAATAAATGTCATGCCTTCTCTGCAGCTTGCTTTAAGAACCTAAAGTGGACAAGAGCTGATCCACAATGAGTTGATGTTTGCATATTTATGTTTCATGGTTCTTTAATTGAACTTATATATTTTGTCATTAGTCAACTGGGATAAAAACTTTTTAAATAAATCATGAAAATCCCAACATAAATACAGAAGTCCTGCCAATGATGAGTTGATGAAAACATTTGAACATATTTGCGGCGGGCAGTCATTCAAACATGACACTTTTTTTTTTTTTTACATTCACTTAAGTCATAAAGGTTATGTTAGTTTTCGTTTGTGTCTTTGAAAGCATTTCCTATATTTCAGATGTTACAGGTCTGTTATTTCACTTAGGAAGACATTGTTCTTGTTATTTCACCCAAGCTATTCTTGTCTTTTCTGAGTCTTGTTCTGCTTTTCTCATCCCTTGAATATCTTGGACTGGAGGGTCCGATCCATGCTACTGCACCTACAAACAATCCAAAAAAGAAAAACAGTCAATATAAAAAACTTTCTTAAACATTGTTACATTTTCCTTTATTTGTTTTCTATTCTAATACATCTAAAGGTTTTCTCTTTTATTCAAGGTTACTTTTATTTTTCCCTTCTGTTTTACTCTGAATCATTTAATTTTGAGCATAAGTTCACGCTCTTTCTTTGAGAATCAGTGCTGTTTCAAGAACAAGAGCACACATCTTACTTCACTCTCAAAATAAATTATATTTCCTTACATTTAAACTGAAGTAACGTTTATTTTTAAAATAGCCACTTGCATTTGAAAACAAAGACCTAAATAGAACATGTTCTGCTGCACTTCCTGCATTGACAACACACTTTGTGACTGAAACAGGAAGTGGTAAAAGCCAGTGTTTTACAGGAGGTGGCACCAGCTTAATTTAGAGCTTGCATATTTGAATTAAAAACAGAATATGATTCAGAGCATGGGAATTCTTGAATAATATTCAGTTTAGTGTTTCTCATTTGTTTTTGTAAGACAAGAGGCCAATGGAGTAAGTGGTGAGATAAGCTTGTAAAAAAATGTATTCCAAGCCCAAACAAGACATTGTTTCATTTTAACTCAAGAGCCTCCATCAATTTTGTTACATTTTTGTCCCAAATCTTCTTTTAACGTTTGACTTAATTCAGCTCATGCTAAAGTACTAAATTGGACAGACCAATACTCCAATGGAAAACATGACAAATGTGCAGCAATAAAAAATATAGTAGAATAAAAATCTAGAAATATTAGCTTCAATTCAAATTCAAAATGAAAATCTAATCATTGCAACATAGAAATATATCTGGTCTTATTTTTTAAGTTGTTTTACTGTTGTTGTTTTTTTTGTCATTTCAAATTTAATAATTAATCTATGCACCGCTATGTTCAAATGTTTTTAAAAATTTGAGAAGTCTAAAACACTTGCAACAGCTCTAGTTATACATGCAAATACGTAGGAAACACTACAATCTATTCAAAATCTTAAAAAGATTTTTTTTACTCCACAGAAAGTGAGAGAAAAGGAACATCAATCTTTATTTTTTTAAAAGGTTCAAATATTTGCTATTTAACCTAAAAACGTGTAAGGATTTAGGTTTTACTGTGAATAAATGAGGCATAAATTGGTTGTATAACCACAGATAATTATGCAAATGCTTCATGTACTGCAGGGTGTTGGTGTTTTCACATTGTTTTCACATGGTTCTGATTGCATCTTAGATCTTTTTAGCTGAGCAGACAATTATTTTTTACTCCTCTTCGTATACTTTTCTCTTTCCAATAGACTTTTTGATAAATACTAACTGCAATCAGACTTGAAAAAGGGTCACCTATTTAAGAACTGTGAAGGAACTCAGTGACTAAACCGCACAGTGCTCTGTTTAAACTGAATCAGCAACAGGCATGTCACCTAATAGAGCTGTGGGTTTTTTATTTCACTCTGCTAAACATAGCTGTCAATTATTTGCAGTGTACAGTAGAAATGAGTCATCTGTTACTGTTAAACAGTGACTTATCTGGTTATAAATTTTGGAATGGAAAATAGCTCCATTCATATATATATATATATATATATATATTAAAGTCTAATGCATTGGAATGAAAACAGTAACTTACACTCTGGATTCAGAGAGGAGGAATCTGCTTCTCTGAAGAATTCAGTGCTGTTTGAAAATAAATGAATGTAGAAAAAAGAAAATCTAGATTAAAATACCTGCAAATGAGATCCATAAACAATTAAACTGAACTGCAATATCTAGCATTTTACAGGACTCTAGTAGAAACAAGCTTCTACCGATTGTTTTAACAAACAATAAGAATAAAACTCCTTTGTCCATCTTTGTGGATAACTCTTGAGATTATTCTTTGCATGTTACATTCTTGTTCTTTTCAAAAATGTTTAAAACATTTAATCTCTTATGTCATTAACGTTAATAATACTTTAACATTATCAAGAGGCATTATAGGGAAGTCAGAAGGAAGTCAAAGTTTGGAGGCTGACGAGAAAACAAACATCGGAAAACAAGAATAGGCAAAAAATGAAGATGACTATAAAGGGAAAACTGAAAATGAGATGTGAAAAGTTCCAAAAACAAATTAAAAAAATTATGTTATTCATAAACATAAATATTATGTGCAAATTACAAACCAATGGAAACTATTGCCATGAGATATTTATTAAATAAACATATTCAACACGTTGAGTCCTTAAACAGTTTAATCTTGCAGATATTTTCCTGAGGTCTAGTTCCCTTCAAGAAAGTTGGAAATTTGACAACCCACTGTAAATAACAGCAAATGTAAAAAATAAATAAATAAAAAGCTCAGTTACATGACACACCATCCCAGGGCAACAACTCTGAAATGTCTCAACAGTGTCTGCTCTACAATTAAGCAGTGGCCTACTGTACCTGTTTGCCTGTGGTCTGTCACTGGCAGCCTACAGACAAAACAAAAGGGGGTCACTATGGTTAAATCAGTTTATCAACCATCCATCTATACAGAGAGTAAGCAAGCAAACATACATCATGCAAGTGGGCATGTCTGCCGAGAGCTTTATTTTCGAGTGTCTGAGATTGGCCGGACGTAGATGAGTAGTCAGGGGAGGAGATGTTTTTCGGCGGCAGAGGTGGAGCCCTGAGGTGAGAACTGTTGATCTGAGAATCTAAACTCGAGAACTGCAAAAAAATAAAACAAAAAAACAAATGCCTTTAATCTTGTCAAGTATCTACCAATACAGGAAACTGCTTCACACGTTATAAGATACAAGACTGGACAAGTATGATGGTACGATAATTAAATTATGCAACATTCAGAGTGTATGTAAGATGTAAAGAGTCTATTAGAAAAAACTTTAATTTCTTTCTGGGGTTGAAAATGTATTTCTTTTTTTAAAATAAAAACTGAACTGGAAACGTGTCCCACATTAAAGAACTGTTTAGTTAAAGACAACAAAACAGGAAAGTAGTTTTTGACAAAATGGTAGAGTATGTTTATAAAATCAACTTTAATATATATAATACTTTAATTATGATGTGATAATTCATTCACCCTTCATCTTCAGAGAATCAAACCTATTTAATTTAAAAACTATAAATTGTTTACAAATTACTTTATTTATTAAGGCTAAAAGATCAAATTGTGAATACTTTCATCTTTTTATGTTTTTTCTTTTAAGTATAAAATAACCTAAATACATTTAAAATACTTACACCCTGACCTAAATACTGAAAGAGGTACAGAAAAAAGAAATCAGTTATAAAATAAAGTAGGTTACAAGAGCTGAAAAAGCAAAACCTGATATACCGATATAAAAAAGACACAGGATTGAGTCCTAAAGAGGTTTATAAAACCATTTCTGAGACTTCAGCAAAGCACAGAGACTCACTGCCCACAAATCAACGAAAAAAGGTACAGTGCTGAACCTTTTCAAGAGGGGCCAGCCAATTGAAATTACTCCGAGGACCCAGAACAACTTCTGAAAAACCACTGGCCTTACTTTGCAGTAGTTGAAAATAGAGCTCATGATTTGCTGATATGAAAGAGACAAATCTGGCATCCAGGGAGAGTTTGGAGGGGAAAACTAAAGCAAATGGAGAGAAACCAAATCCTCATCTCTCATTTACCATAGAATATAGTGGCTAAAAAACAAATACAATGTAACCTTTCTTAAGGTGTGCATCCTAATATGTCAGGCGTCAAACTAACACAGCATTCAAAATGTGGACATCAGAGCAGCCGTCAATGTGAAAAAAACAAAAACAAACACTTTTTCAAAGTATTATTAATATATTAGATTTTCAGTAGCAATCCTGATACACTTTATTTTATTTTAAGGTAAACAAAAAAGAAGATTATGGGTCATACTTTCAACATCTGAAATATAGTCCTTATTCTTGGCTAAAATTAGACAAAACAAAATTAAAAAGAGGTTCGATTTTGTACTCACCTTCCGAAGGGCAGCCATTTCCTTCACCACCACCTCAATGTCTTCATGGTCTTCATCATCGTCGTCATCTTCGCCATCATCATCATCATCCTCCCACTGATGGCTGACTTTCAGGTAGGGCTCGATGAGGACAGACTCTGTTCCCAGGATATCGCAGCGGCAGTACGGGCAGGTGTGGCCGGCTGACTTCTGCTACATCACACATCCGAAACAGGGGAAAGATACAGCAAGACAATTCAACAATCCGCTGTCAGCTATAGTCAGTGAAGGTTCACGTCTTTTTGAACTAGCTGTAGTGGAAAGAGTTGAACTTCACTTCAAAGAAGGCTTTTCAAAAAGTGCTGGAAAATACCAGCAGTTTCAAGAGAACCTATACACTGAGGGTTTCCATCTTGTAGCCAGATGGGGTCAAATGTTTTGGCTGCAGAAAAACAAAGGCTTTGACTCAAACTGAATGTGAACGAGGAGGATGTGAAGCTGAGCTCACACAGGAAATTCAAGGGCTAATGTCAGGAAAAAGAACCTTCATCTCTCAAAGAATTATGCCTCTCCTCACAAGTTAGAGAACAGAGTATATATATATATATATATATATATATATATATATATATATATATATATATATATATATATATATATATATATATCTGTTTAGCGTGTTTTCTTCAGCAGAAAAAGAAAGTTGTACCACTGCAACAGTGCATTCCCTTCAATTTTAATTGCTACTTTGCTCTTACAGTAGATAACTGGATTAGGAACCACTTTGCTAGAGTAAACTGAAGGCTGTTTCACTAAACCAAAGTATTGGATGAAGCTGGAATTTTCCAGATATTTAGGCTAGCTATATTAAATCTTGACACAGTTTCACAAAAGCAGTAACATATACGTTATCGTTTAATTTATTCTGTGAAGCTAGCCTGTTTAAGACCAGGCTAATAGCCAGGCTTAGTTAATCTGGAGCCTAATCTGTTCAATCAGTGTCAGGCAAATAAGATACAATTGAGTCTTCTCAGTGTATTTGTTTTCTTGTCTTTTTTTTTTTTGTCTTTTTTTTAATCATTCCACATCAAAATATTAATTATCAATAAATATGTATTTTACTTAGTCAAGTTATTTAATCTTTTAAACAATGTTATGGTGGACTGACATAAGGTCTTTAATAAACTATTGCATGTATGCATTAGATGAATATTTGATACATAAAGCAAAGATGGTTTTGATAAAAGTCAGGACAAGTTTTTCTAAAAACATGTGTTCTTTTACGATGATGTGTTTTCATTTTTCTCTTTTTTTATACATCTGCTACCCTTGCAGACTGCTTGGTCCCAAAGTTCGGCCCCACACATAACACAGCCAAGCCCTGACTATTACACAGATAATCTGTGTTGATCTTAGATATTTTGCTAGTGGTATGAAAGCCTTTGCAAAGCCACTATTTCTTACAAGCATGTGTTTGGTATTAAAAGGATGTGCACACATCTTCATAACCTGCGTAGGCCACAGAGAAATATACAACATCAAAAAACTGCACAGGTAACACGAATTAAGCCTAATATCACAATGGAAATTTCAGAACAGGTGGACCACTTATTTTAATAGAAGATTCCCTTATGCTATAGGTGCACTGAACTGCACACAAAAAGTGCCCCTGAAGCACATTGAGGTGATTTTGTTACCAGAAAATCCTAACATTGAGGTAAGAGTGAGTTATACTTAGGTCTATTGACATTTACATGAATGTATTATATGCATTCAATTATCTGACCACATCTTATTGCTTCCGGTCATCTGTGTCCTTTGTTTAAATTACAGGCCAGCTTTTCTGCTGCCACTAATTCTGGGAATGGTGGGCAGAATGTGTGAAAGAAAATAAAAAGCATGCTAAACAGGTTTTTATGCCAAATGCCATTCTTGACATAATCAGGATTCAATCTCAAGTCCCATCATTCAAGTCTAAGACTTAAACCACTATAATACAGAGAAACTGTATGTTAAAACAAAAAATTATCGAAATATATCAGCTATAAGACTGGCACGCATTAGCTTTTATTTTAAGTTTTTAAGTTTACAACTTACTTAAAAAAAGGCAAGTAACTCATTAAATTATGAAGTCTTTAGTTCAGAAAAGGGGTGAAGAAATTTATATTTGAGGCTTTTTAAGCCATCGTCATTTCGCTTTTGTTTGCCACATCAATTTATCTGCAACCTGGCTAGACATACATGAAGACGCACTTGTCGAACCTAGCTTGGCCTTAGTAAGACAGATAAATCCAGAATCCACTGATCACACTAGGTCAAGCCTGGCAATATCGTTTATATCCTGGATTCTAATAATTCTGCTAATGAGAAACAACCTTCTGGCCAAGAGTTGCAGCGTCATCCTAAAACATCAGTTATAATTCATAATCCCATTAAACCTAGGGGTATTTTAAAAAACTCAAGCAGAAAAGCAAGACTTGAAAGCTCAATTCTGACTCAACTTAGGCACGTGTTAAGCCCGGATTAATGGCTTTAAGCAAATGCAAAACATGTTAAACCTATCAGGGTTGCTGCACACCCACAGTGAAGAAGTATTTGAACAACATGCTATTTTGCAAGTTCTCTCACTTAGAAATCATGGAGAGATCTGAAATTTTCATTGTAGGTGCATGTACACTTGGACAGACATACGGTAATCATAAACAGAAAATACAATATATGATTTTTTAACTATTTATTTATATGATCCAGCTGCAAAAAAGTATTTGAACACCTATCAGCTAGAATTCTGACCCTGAAAGACCTGTTAGTCTGCCTTCAAAATGTCCACCTCCACTCCATTTAAATTAGACGCTCCTGCATGAGGTCGTTAGCTGCATAAAGATACCTGTCCACCCCATACAATTAGTAAGAATCAAACTACTAACATAGCCAAGATCAAAGAGCTGTCCAAAGACGCTAGAGACAAATTTGTACACCTTCATATATAAAACTGCAGTATTTATGCATAAAATCTATTTGAATTTGTCATCTCAAGAAAACGTTTTAGGAAAGGGAGGGTGGGTACAACCACAAGGAAACACCAAACTTTAAAATATGTAGCATCCGAATGTGAAAAGATTTTGTATCTCTGTAACTGGGGTTAAACAATATAATTAGCTCGACATGGAACTAAAACAATGCCCAAATATATTCCAGTTTAAAAATAAACACAAATCTATATAGTTCACATTGTAAAGCGAATAAAATAATTCATAAAAAAAGTTTTTTGTTTCCTCCTTTCTTCTGAACTATTATTACCATCATTAGTAGTTAATTTGTAGTAGTTTATTTATCGTTTCACAGCCTAAGCTTGTACATGTTTTGTAACGATGTACTGGTAGTGATGTTTTTTTTCTTTTCTGTGAATTATTTCTATAATAGTATGGGAAAAAAATAAGTCTTGGGGCTTCTGCCTGTTCCTATTCAATTAATTGTACTCTATTCATTTCAGCAAGGCAAAAAAAAAAAAGATTTAAGCAGTTCAATAAACTATAGTGCAGCTGACCCCCCCAAAAACCCCTGATGTAACAAAGACTGGGGAAGGAGAGCCAACACCCAACTTTACTGTAATAGTAACAAAGCTTAGGCCTATAGAGAGTATCTCGGGACGAGTTAGGGCATCATTCACCCTGTTATGTTGGAGAGCTGAGGTCTAATTAAGGCAGTTTGGTAAATTAACCCTCCTGAAAATCGATATCATTCATACAGATAATTCTTCAGGGCAGAGGAAAGAGTCCCTGAAGAAACAGCATGCTGTTCTCTCCGTAAAACAGCTCCTGTATGCCTTTTATAGACTAGGGTGAAATTTTACCTCCACCAAGGAGGATATGTGTTCATCTGCATTGGTTTGTCTGTTTGTTTGTCTGCCTGGTTGTCTTCAAAATAACTCAAAAAGTTGTGGACGGATTTTGCTGAAATTAATAAAGAAGGTGTGTATTTTGGTGATGATCCGGATCACCATCTGGATTCAAGATTTATTTTAAAGATTTTGTGAATACAGGTATAAAGTACTTTATGGTCTGTGCTCTCAGATTGCTTTTCTAGTTATTAAATGTAATTAATTATATGTAGCTTCTAACTTGTTTTGATGGCACCATACAGTTGGGCTAAATGATGGCGCTAGTATCCTTTCTATCACTTGTGGGGCCATTTGGTGCTGGATTCAACAAAGAAGAGACAAAGAATGAAACTTAGTCGGCTTGGTTCTGGTCTTCATCTCATCTAGTGAGTCCAATCTTAACATGATGACTTGATGAGATGAATGGAGTCTGGTGTTCTATTGCTTGGTTGGAAAGGAAACCTGCAGCCACACAGCCCTTTCTGGAACCAATTTGACACCCCTGCTTTAGAGACACAAGGGTTTTGAGCAGCAGTACTGACGTAAACTGTCCCATGAAGCTGGGGTTGAAACACTAAAGGGTTCCTAACCCCTTTTCTGTTCGGACCAGAGGAACAGTAAAAACAACGCGATGTTCGACTTAAACCTGTAGGCCCTTATGTTACTGTACCAATAGCTGAGGGGGCAGAGCATTAGAGAGTCCCATTTTATTTTAGCATTTAAGACGCAGTAATGACTTATGACTTCACATTCTGTGGTAGACCTCACTTTTATAAAGCCTGTTTGATAGCTTTAGTCTTTCCTTATATCATAAGTTTAGAGACTGCAGAGCAGTTTGTTCTCAATGCTACTATCTTTTTAGCTCAACACAAAGGTGTTGTTTGAGAACTGATGTGGCTATTCAAGGGTATGGTTTTGTGTGTGGTAAACAGTTTCTGAATAAAATGCACACATTTTATTGTTCAAATCGTTTTTCTGATAAAGACCAAGTGGGGACAAAGCTTTAATCTGTAGCTATATTTTAGTTGTTTGTGTTCTGGCAGGACTCAACAACTGGATTTTTATTTATAACATTCTGGTATTTTAATGACTCTACATGGACCACACCCTCTCAGGTCTTTAAGTGCTCTGAAAAGAGGAAATTAGGTGGTTTTTCACATAGTCATCCTTTGTTTAACCTTAGACCCACCCAAAGCGTTTGTTGCCTCAAAACAATCTTCATCTCATCTGAGTAAAGCACACATTTGCAATGGAAATACCAACTCTACTCAACCATCCATAAACATATGTTTTGGTTATATATATATATATATATATATATATATATATATAT